TAAGCATCCCTTGTCCATTTGTGAATCACACACCCTGAAATGCAAGCTGCCACTATACTGTTGTAATTGGGAGAACAGTTCATCATCTCATGCTTCATTGCCTGTAAAACTGCTTTGAAAGTCCTTAGTCAGGGCTGCTGCTAAAATCCCTGGTTGCAGAATTTCAAAGTCCTTTTTTTCTTTTCTTTTATTTTTTTTTAACCAAAGAAAAGCAAATGTTTTTCTTTTCCTTCATATTCCTACCAGGGGCTAGTGAAGCAAAGTGCTTCAAAGCTGACATATGTTCCACACGGTAATTCTGGTGGGTAATTAATAGACGACTGAAAAAAGACAACGGGAAACTCATTGTTGTGGCTTCCACTCCATAGCTATCTGCTGCAGGTTCTATTCTGCTCCCTCAAATCTTGATGCATAATGCAAATGAAAGCCCTATCAGTATGAATTGATAGTGTGAATGCTTCATTGAAGAATGTTTTTTGAGTAGGAAAAATCATGTCTGTCTTGAAAATGATGCGCATGGGCGGTATTACAAGCAGATGTAGCTGAACATGTAACTAAATAGGTGCTGCACAGCAGCATTATGATGTTTAACAGTAGAGATATGGGTTTAGTACCGAGAGCTACCACCTAGCTAGAGTACCTGGAACTACTACAGGGAGTGAAGTCTCCTGGTAGTAGACACCACAGAGTCCCTTTCAGTCTGGGCATGGGGTGAGATGTAAGTCAGGAAGACCACAGATAAACTGATTTTCCAGGAGAGTTTAAGGAAGTCATTGTGGCTAGCTTCATGAGAACCAGTGGAAGCCTAAGAGCAGCTGTCTGAGCAGAGTTGGGGGAGCGGTATACAAGTTCAAAGCTCATATAATTTCAATGTCTGTGATGTTTATACATCTTTGCTTGTGCCATGGTTAATACAAGATCAAGTGTATTAACCGAATACACTTCATTCTGTCTTTTATGCTCTAATTTATTCTCATTGTGTGCTGAGAAGTCCTACTTGGAGTGTCTGCTCTCAGCATAACGCTGTCAAATTTCTATTAAGCTTAAGGTGAAAAATTAATGAGCCATTAACTTCAGATATTTCAAAACTAATACTGCTATATTATTAATGCAGCAGAAAGTCAAAGTTGTGAGTATGTACGATTATGGTTCAGTGTTCAGTCAGACTTTACTTTTCTGTAGTTTGTGGGGAGCATCATTAAAAGAGTGTTTCAGGTCATAGAAGGAATTATTTTAATGAATTTAACTTTTTTGGACAGTTTTGTTCATAAACTTTCTGTTTTATCAGATCTGGGTGAAGGTGAATATTAAATATTAAATATAAATATTGTTATCTGACTCTTATAACAGATTTTATATTGTCTCTAATTTTTCTCTGAATCTGGAAGTTAAATAAAAATTAACAGAAAGTTCTTATAGCACAAACCTTTTAGAGAAAAATAAATAAAAGTCTAACTGCATAACACTGAAGAAGCTTTGCCTAAAGCAGTATTCTTTTGACTAGAGAAGCATGACATGGTGACTAACTCTTCTGTTCCATATGCTTTGATGTTTCAGCCTTGACAAAAGTCACTGAAACAATGATAAAGTTTGACTTCAACTCAGAATTGAGTGGCATGTGCTACACAAGTATTACTGCTAAATTCTCCCAGGAAAACTTTTCAGAAATCTCATTTTACTCAATTACCAGTTGGTAATTGGTTACTAATACCAGTAAGTTAAGTCATAGAACACTGTGAAATGCTTGGTTACAAGTGTGTATCCCAGACTGAGCAGTATGGAAACTGATGCTCAATGTTTGTGGTTATGTTGAAAAAGAAAACACAAAACACAGTCACTGCAGAAGTAGAAATGTAGTCATGTCTGTGCAAAAACTTTCTAAAGATTGCCTCTTTTTGTGCTACTAAAATTAACTTGGTAATTCATTAGCATATTTTTCTTTTTGCATTCCAGGGTATTCTCTAGGGTTTCTTAAATCAATAGCAGTTTCAGGCCTATCACAGTTATATTATTAGACTTCCATAGACAAAGGCCTGGCACAGTTATATTATTCGACTTCCACAGACAAAGGAATTCTTTTACTTAGAAGATTTTCATACTATAAAACTAAATTTCATTACAAACAAAATGTCATATTTAAATTATTCTCTTGCTTGCAGATCCTGAAAGCACTATGTGCTCCAAGGAGTTTTTTCAACTATCAGGGAAAGAGCAAGCAGGAATCTCGCAAAGTTCTTCCAGTACATTGGTTTCTTTATGAAGCTGCACTGCACTGCTTTGCACTTGGTACAGCACCAAGCCCATGAGTGATTTTTAAAAACTTATGAACGATTTTGCTTCAACTGGTAGCCCTGGAAGTCTCCAGATTTTTCAGTGTATATTGTGTTTTACTGGAGAGATTGGTCTTGCATCTTTCCTTTTTGAATCCTGATCATGATGTATATAGCTTTACTCAGCTTCTTCAACAATGTACTCTTATGGAAACTAATAAATTTCTGGCAGATTTCTGGAAAGGAACTCTTTCTTTTTTTTCCTTCTTTTTTATTTGCTTTTCCTTCCTCAAGCATTTTTTTTTAATATGAAGTCCAGTATGTTCTTTCTTGTAAATAGTTCAGAAAGTTCAGTTACTAGAGAACTGTATAAGTCATGCCTGAAAAAGGTATCAAGAGGTTATCTAATCTAGCACCTTCCCTCAGGGAAGGAATCAAACGTAACTACATCATTGCTGACAGACGTTTGTTTAATATTTTCTTTAAAAATTTCAGTTGTAGAGATTTTGCCACCTGCCTATGCATTTCTTTGTTAATTCCTTCTCTTAGGCGGTTTTCTTCCAGATAACTTTAAATTTCCATTTCTATGTTTTAAATATTTTTGTGGTTTTTTTTGTTGTTGCATGCACTCCATCTTATATCGTGACATTATTAATTTTTAAACATGGGAGATTTTCTCTGGTAAATTGTTCTTGAAAGTGTACCTTTCACAGTTTATTCAGGTCTGAAGTCCAAGTTGTGGGTAAATGGAGAAAGGAGAGATGCTTTTTGTCTACAACAGTTTGAGATTCATCACTCCTGTGATAGAGTCTGCAGATTGACAAGCAATGGACAGAAAATAATGTCTGCTACATATCTCTGATGGACATTTTAGAATTCCTTTTGGTTGCAGAAACAGACTCAAAGCTTGAGGAAGATGATTTTACCTTCAATTTAATCAAATAACAACTTTGAGGGATTTGCAACCCTGCCCAACTTCAGTAAGACAAAACTTTCTAAATTATGTTTTGAGCAAGTTTCATCTTTCCACTTTGTCTAATTTGTCTAATTCTCTCAAACTGAGCACTGATAATATTTCCACTGGATTTAAAATCTGAACAACACTTTTTTTTCTATAATTAAATGCCATAGCCTTGGTTATGAGTAAGGGCACAGTGTAAGAAATCTCAGGCGATACCAGGACAAAAATAAGAAGAAAAGAAAAAATTAAAAGATACGTATGCATTTTTTTAATATTGTGATTAAGTAACAATGTTTCTGATAGTAATTTTGATGAAATTTATTAGAATGCCTGTTGCTGGTTTCTGATAGCTTTGTCATTGTAGTCATGCAGAATATAAAGGAAGCAGTCTGGTTGTAAAGAACTCCATGTCAACAGAAAATGTGGTATTTGTTTTATAAAGGTCTTGAAGAGAGGCCCTGTATTCTAAATCCCTAGCTGGAATTTTGCAAGTTATTCAGTATGGGCAGGTGTGTTGGAAGGGTTTTAGACTTTTACATCAAAAAGTCTAAAACAGTTGATCTAGGACTGTTTTCTGATCTGTGCTCCTTTTCTGAGGTAGTATTTTGTCTGCAATACTTGCTTTCCATGGAAAGAGATGGTGCCTGTATTAGGCCAGCTGAAATAGTTGAGCATGCTATCCTTAAGTGCTTCAGAGCATTTCCATGTGGAGAGTTTGCCTTTTTTTTTTTTTTTTTTTAGTTCTATTAATTGGTCTCCCAAAATATCAAATTATCTCACCAGAAACCTTCCCATGCTTAAATGCTGGACACTCATGTGAATGGAAACTAACATTTCTTCAGTTAAAGGGAGATTATTAAATATGTATGAGTCTGCTAATACTGAATGTTTTGTGCTGTGGCTTCTGAAGATCTTAAGTCTGTAAATGAAGTACTGTGATTCTTTCTGATCTGTACCTTCCTCCACTTGACATGTCTGTTCAGTACACTCTTAATACAGTCCTACTTCAGCTGAGCCTTCAACCTTCCATGAGGGAACCATCTCTGCATTTTATTATAGTTTCCTTAGCTGCATTGAACCCGCTTTGAGTCAATGAGGTGATCAGATTGTATTCTTTAAAAAGAGTGAGGGCAGATTTCTAAAAAAAAAACAAACAAATCAGTCATTTTTGTGTGTGCAAGGAAGCACATCTCATCAAGCTGCCGGTTTTTCATACCTGTGTGGTATGTTTCTTGTCAGAGTTCTCACAAAAGCTTGTTTGTTTGATAGCTCACCCCTAGTTCTAGAATTTAAACGTCATGGTATCCCTGGCAAATCTAACACCCTTATCAGCAGTAGCAGTATCCACTACAGACAGACACTTATGTGTTATTTCAAGCTGCTTAAATGTCTGTAAGGCTCTGTTCAGTTCTTACTTCAATTTGAAAGTTACTGCCAATAAGTAATTCTGTTTTCCACTGATTCCTTTAACTATGCACCAATTTAATTTGTTGTGCTTAAGTCACATACCATCTAATATTTTCTTTAACTCTTTGCCAATTTCTTTCTTGTGAAACTATTCCCCAAATACTATAATGTGTAATTTTGTGGCACATGTTCTTTAGGGATTTATTATTATTTTTCCCAGTAAGGTAAGTACAATATAACAGTTATCTAAATCAGCTGTTTTAAGTTGTATTGTAAGTACTTGCTTTTTTGTTTGCTTTATGCAAAAGAAAAATCTTCTCATTTTCATTCATTAAATTGCTGTTCTCTTTCTGTTGTTTAAGATGGAAGCTACAGACAAAATCGACTGAACCTCACAACATTGTTAGTACAACCAATTTCTGCAGTGCTTGCCAAAAAACTCATTTCCTTACCTGAGGACACTGTCAAAAAAGATAGGTGTATACCCCTCCAATGGCCAGCAGCAGGTAATGCTTTATAAACATCTTTTTCTTCTATGAAATGTTCTTCAAGGACTCCGATTTTGTTTTCCATAACTGTATATAACTAAGAGGTACATCTGATTATGAGTATCTTTTACTTAGCTGCTTTCTGGAAGTGGCTGTGAACAACCTAAAAATCAGAAAAAATCTGACAGATGGAAGTGTTGGTTAAGAAGAAAAAAGTGTTTTATTTACTCTAAAAACCGTCTACCTTGATACCATCACTAGGGAGATTTTGTTAGTTCTACAGTATGGTTTGTTCAGCCTCATACTGCTAAAATGTGATTTTAATATTAAGGCATCAATGGCTGTACTAAAGTTATTTCTCTTTTCTGCTTCTGGTGTAAAAATACGGTAATTCTAAACAGTGATGCATCTTTATGTGTTTCTTACTTTCTATCTGATGTAGAATAAACAATGTATTCTTGTCTGAACCTTCAGGCACCTTTTCCTCCAAGTTTTACCAGGAAAATGGTCATCATGATAAGAACAAAATACCTTGAGGACACCTGGATGTAAAGAAAGAATGCAGTCGGAGTATTTCTTCAGAGATAATACCATTAGCAACATCATATGTACTACTGTGTGAAAATACTTATTTCTGATGTGGGGGGAAAAAAGTTATAACACAGTCTTCCAGCAACATATTGCACAGCGTTTCAATGAAGCAATGCCTTCTAGATAAGGTTCTAGATGAGATGAATATTTAAAGTTACTCTGTCTTGGTACTCATTTCGTGCTAGTATATCTTTCACCCCCCCCAAAAAAGGGCAGAAAAAAAATGTGGTTTATTGTAATATCTGTTTAAATTAATTGATTTGAATCAGTAATCTTGGAAGGGATAGGCAAATTAAATTAGCTGCTTTATCCTGTATAAATACAGTGATGATAACAGTAAAAACACATTATAAGGGCAAGCATTGTACTATCACATATGTGCTATATCACTTGTTTATTGCTTTTGGAAAGTTATTTTGGATTAGAAGTACAATACAAGTCATAAAAAAGGTTGATTAATTTTATGGCTTGTGTTAGCATTTGTAGTTATACATACTAAAAAGGAAGGCAGAAAGACCTGATGCTTCATGGCTTAATCTGTTGTGGTTAGTCAGAACTGTTGCTCTTCATGCATGGCTGCCTAGATACTTTTAAGATTAACTGATCTTCCCTACAACCAGTAGATAAAGACTATATAAACAAGAAAGGGTCATTTTGGAAGAAACAAATGCTTAACTATTCCAGGTGGGGTATGTGAAGCTTCCTAGTATTGTAGTTTTCAGTAGCTGAAGTACCTGAAGGATGATCTTGAGGTGGCAAATGGCATTCATTTTAGAATGATAAAAGGCAGCATTGTCTATGTTTCTCAAGAAGCTTTGTGTGGAGGCTGCAGGACAGAAACACCCAAGGGGTAGCTTATTCTTTTGGGTTTTATTTTGTTTTTTTTTTCTGTGATACATGGCATATTCTGTGTGGCAGCAAATTTCATGAAAGAAAGAATATTCCAAGTTAGCAGTCTGGTAAAAGCCAATCCGTGTCTGACTTACTCTGGATGAACACAACAGCTTGTGTCTGATTTAATGTAAAACTTCTGAGCCACAGTAATTCCTGTCAAATTTATTTAAATAAAATTGTTAGTTTATTGAGCAGGTAGTGTGTATGATAAGAAACCTTGCCTAATTCTGTAATGCATTATGATAGAGTTTGCCTTGAAATAATGGTGAAACTATAGATATGCTGGGGCATACAGTGTACTGAGTGTTCAGTAGCAGCCTTAATGGAAGAGATAAAAGACTGGTCTTCTGATAATAAATCTTGTGTAACTATTTAATAATAATAATAGCAACAGCTAATAAAGAGAAAATGCTAAACAGAGCAAGTGCCTCACAGTGCTTCTTTTCTCCCTTAGCCTTGCAGTTTTCAAGGGACATAATGTGACAGAGGGGGTAGGAGGATACAGAGGGAAACATCTGAGATATATCGAGTGCTTAGAACCTACAAAGCGAACAGTGGGAATTGAAGTTAGTTATTAGTTTTGTGTTAGTTGAAGTTACTAATTAGATTTGCTTTTTGTTTAGTGTGGTGCATCATTGATAATCTTCATTAATTTGAAATTCTGTGCTCCCATGAACTTTTTCCGCAAAATGGGCAATTAGAAGGAATTTAAGAGTGAAGTGCTGTAGAGAAGCTGTACGCTTCCAAAGCTTTCTTTTTTTTTTTTACAGAATATTACTAGGGTATTTGCTAGAACATTACGAAGAATAATGTAAATCTAAAGCACTCCTATAAACATAAATGAAGAAAGTCCTGCTGTGTTGCAGTAAACTTTCTTTGTTGTTTAAGTTACCTGCCAGTTGGTGGATTTCAGTCACATGCAAGTCATCCTTTTTCAGTGAATCTCTTAAGTATTTAAAGTAAATCTATCTCTTGGAATTTAATTTTACAAGTATTTTTCATCACTAATGACCATAGAGAATCATAGACTGGTTAGAGATGGAAAGGATCTTAAGATCATCTAGTTCCAACCCCCTGCCATGGGCAGGGAAGCGGAATGCTAGACCGTGTTGCCCAAGGCTCTGTCCAGCCTGGCCTTGAACACTGTCAGGTTGAATACTGTCAGGGAAGGAGCATTTGGTGCTTCTTTGATATTAAGTGGAAAGAAAGCCTCATAGCCTGGAAGTCTGGTGGTTAAAAACATTAATGAGATATGTGTAATTTTACTCTTCTTTAAGTGTCAGTTTTCATGCTCATAGTAATCGCATCCGAGAAGATAGAAGATAAGAAAGGTTGTTTGGATCGAAAAGAGTGTGTATTATTTCAGAACATATTAGTAAAGTTAACATATACAGAACAAGGCCCCGTTCCTTATGAGCTCTTAATGACTTTTGCTGTGAACTAGGTATAGGGTTTTTTTATTTTAGCTTACAAAATACAGTTACTGACCAATAGTGAATAGTCTTAATGACTACAATGCAAAGCTTCATCATAGCCTGCAAGCAAATCCACTTCTTTACCAAAAAAGGTGAGACTGGAACAGATAAATGGAAGTTACTGCTCCTGAAAAGTCTTCTAGCATAACATAAGAATTTTGTGTAAGACTTTGAACATGTATTTTGTACTGTTCCATGCATCAGGTGGTCATTATACTGAGTTTTATAGATAACTCTGATCATATGAAATTTGTATCTAATTATATGAAAGGAATAATTGGAAGAGTCTTAGTTTCCATATTACATGATCATTGTCCAAGACAAAATTCTCTGCCAAGTGCAGCAGTAGTGCAAATCACATTTATCTTCTTCTCAGTCAGAAGAAGGGCATGGAAAGAAAAAGGACATATATATCCTCCTATTAGGCTACAGCCTTGTGATGTTGTTATATGTTTCTCCTTCGTAGCTTGCTAGCTGTCAGAGGGAGGAAAGAATACTGTATTTAATGAACTCTGACTGTGCCATCATATACAATGCTATCAATATGCAAACAATTCCATGATTTCTAGGTATTTGCACTATGTTAACTGTAAATAAAAAAAAAAAAAGAAAAAGAAATGAAGATGACAGCATATTGTGTGGCAATGCACATAATATCTACAAAATTCTGATTAATTGCACATAACAGTGGAAGTATAATGATGTTCTTCAGATATTACTTACTGGCATTGCAAAGAAGTACATGTTAAGTAGGGAAGTCAGATGTAATACAGACATACTGAATACAAACATACTAATCCTCTCAGATTTTCTTTTTGAGATTGCTTTAAATTCTGTACATTCTCTTTTTAAATAAAAGTTCATGAAAGGATTGAAGCATAAACAGTGTGAAGCATTTTTTAATATATCTTCTCTCTACTACTACCTGAAGGATCGCTAGTTTTCTACCAGAATTGTAACTGATCAAGGCGTATTTTCAGAATTCTGTTCTGTGCCGTTATTTTGTGTGTGTGTGTGTGTGATGCTTTTTTTTGATTGCTGTAAAGCAGATGAAGAATCTCTCAAAATCGTCTGAGATGATGAAGTTCAACTAGACAATATGAAGCATTCTCAAAATTCATAACTGTGATATTGAGTGACACATTTATTCTATATCTCATTAGGCCATCCTGATTTAGAGCCTCCTTAAAGGACTTTATTCTAGAAACCACCTGTTTTCAAAAGCTTTTTATCTCAGTAGAATCCTTATTGTAAGTCAGAAAAGACTGCAAAAAGTCTATTCCTTAAGCTCTTACAACTGAGATGAGGCCTGAAGACTCAGGGCCTATAAATATCCATTTAAAAATTATGTTAGTGGGCAGCATAGTTGGTTAATCAAGTAGAAATCTAGTCAGAAAAAAAAAAAAAAAATACTTGATTTCAAAGAGACTGAACCTGGATAATGTTTTGCTTATATTTATATATACATAAAAGAAGAAAAAAGCCCCCAACAAAACAGTACAGGGTTTTTGTTATACGAACATCTGCCTAGGATTTCTAACATATTCCTGCACAAATAATTTTATAATTTAACAATACACTGTCACAGATTTAGTATTGATTTTTACATTTGGGTTTTGATAGTGTCATGTGATATTTTTTCAGCTATAATATATGAATTTTTAAGTATATACTATTTTATAGGTTAATTTGCTTTTTTAAGTATGTAGTTACATTGCATGTCGGTTTTTGGTATGCAAGTTGTATTGTTATATAAATGCTTATGACAGCTACATTTCTTCATTTAAAGCCCTATGAACTTAATTGAAAACTAGTGCAAAATATGGGCAGATAAGGTTTTGCACTCATTTGGAATTGACATGATGAAATACTGAGAACTAAATAAAACATGTTTTTCCCATACCAGTAAGATTTCAAAAGCCCATTAAATAGGCAGTCTAATATAGAAGTAGTCAGTTGGAATTTACTCATTCTAAATGGTAACATCTGATTAAAATTAAGCATTTGTTTCAAATGACAGCAAAATCTGCTGTTATATGTTTAATGTATACTTACCATATTGGTGTGCTTAACAGTGTATTCCAAATGTTATGTACCAGTCCATATTATTCCGTACATTATCCCTAATAGAATATAAGAAATCCATGACACATTTGATTTTTTTTTTTTAATATGTAAATACTTTATGGTATTTCTGTGTTCCGCTGTTCTCTCTGTATCATCATGCTCTGTGGTGGTGTTTGATATTACTTTAAAGCCTCGGGTCTTGGGGCAAATAACTTAGGAAACCGTAGCTTTCATTATTAAAATAATTACTAGCTTTCAGGGTGTCTGAAAAGCTTGATGGTGTGTGTGTTCAGAAAGTTAGCATTTATTAGAACTTGATGTAAGGTTTTTGAATGACTGGAACAAGAACTCTGTTGAATGTAATGTTATCCTGACTACCTCAGCTGAATTAGTGCCCCCTAAGTAACATGGCCATGGATGTTTGATGATGTTTGAAAGTTTTACTTTAACTGTGATTTCAAACTGATGTATTTTTATTCAGGTGTGGTTTATGTTTATTTCAGTAGGAATTATATTCATGTTAAAAACTGGATTGCTTAAAGTTATTCAATGTACCTTGTTTCTGCAGTCTTCTGAAATAACTTCTGGGTTTATGAGACAAGAACTGCATTATCAAAATACATGAATTTAGTTAGTACTCGATACTTCTACACTTGAGTTAAATGTGTATGTAGGGAAAGTTTTGTTCATAAGTAGCAAAAATCTTGTCAAATGAGTTCAATTTTCAAATCTTAGTCCGTAATTATGCTTGTTAAAGTACAGTACTGAAATGAATGTTCAAAAAACTGTCTGATTATAGGTGGTTAGTATGATCCAAGATTCAAGAATTTAGCCAATATATTAGAAAATCAGGCTCAAACCTATACTCCTCTATGCTGGTATGAGCTTAGGATAAGGTTAAAAGAAAAAAAAAACAAAACATAACTTATTTTACAGGCCACAAGTAGTTTTTTGTTCGTCTAAAGTTCTAAATGAATGGGAAGTCTAAAACGAATGGGAAATAACTGTGCATTTCCAAAAATAACTATGTAACTGTGAGAGGAGTAGGTAGTCATTTGGTATGAGGCAGTTTATAATTTCCAAGTCAACAAATAAATAGATAAATAATACTGACTATAAATACTTTTCTTCTACTTCAGAAGTAGCTTTTAGTTTATATAAACTCAAAGTGTAACCTAAATAATGTTAAGCTAAAGTTTACTTAGTTTTCAGAGAATACAGAGAAAAAGAAAGATGTCAAAATCTTTAAAATACAGCATTCAGAAGAGCAGTTTGTTGTCAGAACTATTTAAAGGCGATTAAATTTCACTTCTGCTGCATACTCCAAAGAGTACTTTCAGCCTTTTCATCTGGTGTACTAAGCCTTTAAGCCCAAGTCACTTTAAGCTGACTGCTGTGTTACATGACTACTAACTCAAATATCTGATTCCAGAATATGTGTATTGCAGGGAGTTCATTTTCCATTTCTTTATTGTCAGCTGAAGACTGAATAGCTGATGTTGATTAAGGAAAACAGTTAAGTCAGTTGTCTTCGAAAGAGTGTATGTTCTTTTTTGTTTTAAATGAGGCCTAAAGAAACATATCTAAAATGTTGTAGGGTTAGAAAAGAAAAGAAAATCAGTTTGGGCTTGAAAATCTTATTTTAATCAGAGTAAATTGGCTCTAGATTGGTTGTAGGTGAGAAATATCAGCAAGAAGTAACTTGCATAATATAGATAAAATTTAAATTGCTTGATTAACGTGGATGGTATGAGCTGTTTTCATATTGGTTTAAAATACTGAAAGAGAGCATAGGTGACAGTACAGTGCTGGGAACTCTTTGGACTGATTGTTTTTTCTTACTGACATACTTTTTTAAAAATTTCTAGAATAATACTGAGATTTATAGAACAAACAATTCATCATCATATGTTTAATAACAGTAACTTACATCAGAAGAGTGAAGTTAATTATAACTCAAACCCCAACATATGCATGACAGATCAAAATACAAACTTGCTGTGACTGATTATTGCAAAATAGGGTGGTGCGGGTTATTTTTAATTAATCATGCTTGACTTGCATTTTCTTTACTGTCGTATTCTAATAGAAACAGTTGTCACGTAGAGGGCACATCTGTTTATAATAGGTTTTATCTGAGTAGAAAGTAGAATGAATATTGCTAGGACTGTCTTTTTTTTTAACAAAGAAAGAGTCTAGTAGTTGGTTTGCTTTTTTCAAATATCACCGAAGACTAGTGAAGGAAAATATATTGGATTTTATTTTAGGAGAATTTTAAAGTAAATTTCTCAGATGAAGTACCAGCAAATGAACCCTGAAAAAAAAGTATTCATAGAGATGTATTGTTTTTATTTTATATGTTGGAGTAAGCTCTCACTTGCACATTCCTCACGATCTCAGGAAACAAACTGTTAGAAGTACATCTTTGGGAGGATAATAGCCTGGGAGATAGAGACAAAATGATCCATGGAATATTTTCATTTTGGTCTGTGACAGTTGGGGTACAGACGTGGAAGGAATTCAGGCTCAAAACCGCCTTTAAACACAGGCCTATCATGGGGGTGATGCTGCACTCGATGTAAGAGAACCTCACTGAAGGTCTGGGGTGACAGGGTGGTTATTGTCAGACAATTGCTAGCATTTAAGTTTGAGCCTTTTAAGACGTTTTGACTTTTCTCACATAGAATTTATGACCTTTCAGATGAGTTGAATGTTAATACAGCCTATTATAATGCAAATGAAACATTTTAAAGGTATCTGCAGCTCCCTGTAGTTAGTTGTTTTGTTTCCATTGACAAAAACTGCAGGAGTTAGCATGGTCAGTGTGACCCACCTGAGACACACAGAAAATGACAGTGATTTTCAGCAAAGGACAGTTAAATTTCTTAAGCTATTTTAACTCAGACATTTACTTCTCTGTGGCTTTATCCTGAACTGCAGTCTCAACTGGCATAGTAATACTGGCAAGTCCTGTACATTTTAGTAGGTTTGGGAACTTCACTGCCTTTGTGTTTGCACAATTTCCTCAGCTGAAACCAAACCCCTGTCTTCTGGTTGCTTAAGTTCACAAATATATAACCAGATGCTATGCTGGCAAAGTGATAAGTAATCCAAAGGCCTAACTTTTCCCATCTGATTTAACATAGGGGGTTTCTCTAGAAGAATAGTATAACATAAACCAGGTATAATTTTGTGAATGCTACTGAAAGATTGACCAGGGTGAAGAATTAGGTGGGGAAAAAATAATACCAAGGGAAAGACGGAAGTAATATTTCTTGGTGAACTGAATGATCTTTCAACTCAAGGAATAGAGATCTCTTTTGAGATTCCAGCTTTGAACCACACTGCTAAAGTGGGACTAAGAGAAAGTCTTTTTTTCTTTGTTTTGTTGGGGTTTCTTTGTTAGTGTTAGTTTGTGATTTTGGGGTTGGGTGGGTTTTTTTTTTTTTTTTTTTTTTTTTTTTTTTTTTTTTTTTTTTTTTTTTTTTTGTTTTCTTTTGTGGGGAATTTATATCTGCATCCTGTAGATTAGTTGGCTGGATAAATGAGTTTAACATTCTTTTTTTTTTTTCTTTTCGTCTTTTAACAGGCAAAAAAATAATCAATCTGAATATTCAGTCAGTCACAACTTACAAGACAATTTCTAATGTTATTGGATATTTAAAAGGAACTGTATTTCCTGGTAAGTAGCTCATTAGCACTGTATCAATTATTTGTTTCATGATGGCTGGAAGTCATAGCTAGGGTCAGGATTCTGTTTTGACACATAATACGCTAATACAGAAGAAGGAGAGAGCATTTGTTGCAGTCAGTTTGTGATTTGATTTATAACAAAGCATAAGGGTTAAACAGAGAATGAGCTCAGGGAGATATTATAGGCAGATATATAGTAAGCATTTTTTTACACAAAAGCAGGAGTAGAGAGTATCAGTGTTTTATACCAGGTAGCTACATTGGTGATTTTAATTTTAAGGTGTACTTTATTGCATTATTTGAATTATTTTGCAAGCTGTCTGTACATCTTTAGAAAAGAGTTTGATTTTTTTTTCTGACGTTAGCAGAATTTTGAGAGAAATACAGCTCTATGCTTCAAGTCTACAAAATTCGTCTCACTGAAACTAAGGTGTAGGGCAGCATGATCTCTGGCTTAGATTAGATTTTTAGTTGAGAATCCAATATCAAATATGATTATAGTGTACAAAAATCTGTGACTAAACTCCTAATCACTCTTGCTGCAGCTTTGTTTTGTTACATTCATGCCTTATGCTAGTTTTACACAAGTCTATGAATTATAATTACTGTTCTGTACATCCATGAATTAAACAAGATTCTAAGTGCAACTGTGGCATAAACCACAAATCTCATCCCTCCTTTGATGCTGTATGTAGATAGTAAGATAATCAGGCCACCATAGGAAAGAAGATGATTTTGAGCTTATTCTGTCTGTAAGTGAATTTGCCTAGAAGTTGAAGGGTTTCTGCAGCGCAAATGAACACTGTTGTTGTCTACTTACATAGTGCAAAGGGTTGCAGACCCAGTCCAATTTCTAATGTACAGATGGCATCATCATCAAAACATCATGACATTTGTCTTGATTAATGCTCTTTTATTAGGCTCAGAAGAAAGGTTGCAAATTTATCTAGAGTCCCTTCAGAGGTTGGCTAGTCATTTCATGTTTAAGTGATGGAATAAAGGAGGTGGGGAGGATTTAAGCTTATTCCTGTTAGAGAAATAATGACTTAGTGTTGTGCGTGCTGAATGCTGTGCTTTTCACCAGAACATTTAAAAAAACCAACAAAGCAATAAAAAAAAAAAAAGCCAAATAGAAAACAATTAGCACAGTTAATTTAATTTCAATAAAGGATTTAATTTCCTTCATGAATTTGAAGTTATGAGTCTACTATTGCTAATGTGTTCTAAACAGCAGTCATGGAATTTGAAAGGTAGGAACTTCCATATTTAGACATACCATGTACTGAATTGTGAAAAGAAGCAAGACAAATAAAAGACTTCAGTTTCTGTTCAGTAAATTCTTTATCTTCTTTGTGCCTGAATCTTTCATCTTGTTATTGCATTCTTAACAAGATGTTACCGTAAAGGTATGTCAGTATCTCCTTAAATTTAAAAAGTAAAGGATATATAATGAAGTCAACAGCACTCCCAGATGCCAAGTTTATCCCATAAATGTCTTGCTGAACAAGGGCCATAGGAACTGACTTTTAATATAGGCCCAAGTTAAGCAATTAATGCATAATGATAACATTTTGTACAGGATCAGTATTAAAACTTCATTTGTTTCTCTACTCTTCCTGGTTGATACTGTAGCCATGCCTTCTCAATTGATTAGAGAACTTGCTGTTTGCTTGTCATTGATTCTTTGTCATTTCAATAGAGTTTTGCTAGTTTCATACACCTGAAACAGTCATGTTTATGTTCCCAGAAATATGGAATAAAAGCAAAATTTATCTGTAGCACTTAAAGACTGCAGAGCGTTGTCAAGGGTAGATTTTGAATTTTTAGTTGGTTGGTTGGTTTTTGCTTAAAGGTCTCCTAGCACAAACACAAACACATCTGTGTAATAGCGATCTTATTTGACATTTGAGCATCTGAAATGCAACCAAGATATTAAAAGCAGAGGAAATGTGATAGTTGGTGGCCTTTTAAACCCTGAAAAACTTAACATTGATTTTGTAGCTCTGTTGGACATGGTTGAAAATGAGAAGACAGTATAAAGTCACTTTTTTTTAATGATAAATCCCTGTTGTCCAGCTCATCGCTACCCTGAATACTATCCCATCTTACCACATTCACAAGTATCTGGTGAATATTTTTTCTCTTTCTCTAGTCCTTTCTTTCTCTTTTATTACCGTGTGATCTCTTTCTCCACATGCTTCAGCAAACGGTTATGAGAAAGGACAGCTGCTGTCTCTGTAAGCATGACCATCCTTTCTCCTATGCTTTTCCTATAGTCATTTGCTTCAGGGTATTGCCTCTATTCAAAAGGGAGAGATGTGCAAAGATAAAGAATTTCAAAGGAGGCACCAGCTGTTATTTTTTACCCCTGTTCATTCAGCTTGCATCTCCTACAGTAAACTGCTGCTTGTAGCTTTTTTCTCATCAAAATGCCCTATACTATTTTACATAAAGTCTCTTTCCACTCCCTTTCACATATGCTGTTCACAGACTGAGCAGAGATTAAAATACGGGGCAAGCATTGATCCTGTCTGCTCACCCTATGTTGGTGGCACTTCCTCTGACAACCTAGAAGCCTGTAAGGCCATTAATTTCTGTTCCCAATTTCTAACATTAAGTTGAAGAACCTGTGACTTTTCAGTATCTGTGCAACCTATAATTAAACATCTCATGATGTAACACACAGGTTGCAAAAATCTATATTGTAGATTGCATTTTGTTACATTTAAATTCCAGTATCTGAAGGGGGGGCCTATAAGGATGCTGGGGAGGGACTCTTCATTAGGGACTATAATGATAGGACAAGGGGTAACGAGTTAAAACTTAAACAGGGGAAGTTTTGTTTGGATATAAGGAAGAAGTTCTTTACTGTAAGGGTGGAGAGGCACTGGAACGGATTGTTCAGGGAAGCTGTGAATGCTCCATCCCTGGCGGTGTTCAAGGCCAGGTTGGACAGAGCCTTGGGTGACATGGTTTAGTGTGAGGTGTTCCTGCCTGTGGCAAGGGGGTTGGAACTGGATGATCTTAAGGTCCTTTCCAACCCTAACTATTCAGTGATTCTGCATACACTTAGATATATATTTTACATTTCTGCTTTTAGAAAGAAATTTTCATTTACATGCCTATTCACCCCCCAAGCAGTTAAGTGAAGATGCTGTTTTATAGGTACATAACAGATACCCTGTTTATAAAGCATTTTTAATTCCTTATAAAACAACATTTCCATGAGTTTTGTTAAACAAAACTGGTAGAAGTTCAGGTTGACTGAGGATGGTTCTAATAATCAAAGTGGTCGTAAGTGTTCAGTTAACATTCTTCCTAGGCAGCAGTCACTGCAAAAAAAAAAAACTGGGGAGATGATATTTAATTTTATAAGCAAATTTAAAACACAGGTATTTCCCACCTATGTGTTGCTGCATTCCAGTGTGCTCACAACAGTGAAGAAGTAATCCCCTTGGGTAAAGAAAGAAAACCAAAAATTTTTGCACTTTGGAACTTTTGGATGACACTTGGAGATTCTTGTGGATCTGACATCACTTGATAACTGTTCTGTTCTTTATCAGTGTCCTGAAATATATAAAGAACTCCCTTAGAAGTCTAGATCTGGACCAGAAAGAGACTTTAGTAAATACTAGAACACAATCAGGAAGCAGTCCTTCAAAGAGGCTTCAGTTTCAAATTCATCTCACACAGAAGATCCAATATTTTAATAAGTCATTCAGTATAACTCTGCTTTGACTTCTTGACACACACTTGACACTAGTCATTCATATTGTTTCATACCGCATAATCCTTTTGGAATAAAATGAGGTTCTTTACACTTGTGACTTACTATTTGGATTATATATTATGCCTTAAGAGATGAAGTTTTCATTTAATTTCTCTAAAAAAAAATAAATTGTGAGTTTATTTTCTGCATAACCATAGGCATGTTCTTTATTTCAGGTTGAAACTTCTTGCTTTTCTTTTTATAAAATAGTTACCTCCAGTATCATCAAAGTTGCTAGGTCTGACTTATCGTTTCTGTTTCATTCATTATATCTATTCCTCTGTCATGTCTCCTCTCTAAACCTGCAGTCCAGGTCTTTTCAGTGTCTCCTTACATGGAAGTCTAAGTCCTGATATATAACCCTTCTGGTTACCAACTTCACAACTGCTGTTTCTGCAATGTCTTTTTTGAGATAGGGTGGTGAGCACTGAACACTGTCTTCCAGGTGAGGGAGTACTAATACTTTGTGTATTTTCTCTATGTTTCTCATTGTACTACCACACCTTTTCTTTTATTTTTTGGATGCTAATATGTATTGAAGCTAGAGCTTCCTCCTTATTCATTTGTGATTTTTTCGTAATGCTCTAATGTGAGCTTGGGACTTTCTTATATGAAGAAGTCCTGGCTGTAAAAATGGTATATATTAGATTTGTAAGAAGGGAGAATAATAAGCAACAATGAGGGCAAGGACACAGAGTTTAAATTAGGAAAATTACTAGTATATTTTTAACTAGTATTCACAGTTTTATCTATTTATAGTGTATGATTGTTTTGCACATGATCACCTAATTTTTTGTTGACAGCATTGTGTTGTATTAATGACATTACAGACTAATACAGTTAATCTTTTAGGCTTTCTAAAAATTCTTTTAATACTAATAACCAGAAGAAATAAGATTCTCTGTCTGTCCCTTTTTTCACGTTTCAGATAGATACATCATCATTGGTAGTCATCACAACAGTTTGAATACTTACAGTGGACAAGAATGGGCCAGTAGCACTGCTATCATCACAGCATTTATACAAGCCTTGACACTGAAGGTTAAGAAAGGCTGGAGACCTGACCGGACCATTGTTTTCTGCTCATGGGGAGGAACATTATTTGGGAACATTGGTTCATATGAATGGGCAGAGGTAATACAGTTTTAGAAAGACTCATTGCAATAATGTTTACTTTTGTTGAAAGCATAAAAACATGATGAAATTGCTGCATAGAAATTAGGGTTCATTAACTGGTATGTGATGTCTGTCTCTGTACCTTCATGAACTCCAGAGCAAATGCAGTGAAAAAATCTGTAGAGGCAGTTCCTATGGAATGGAGCGTGTGATAACAAGATGGCAAGTTTCTATAGCTGTCGATGTTGCTTTTACAGCCTTTGGGAACTGTTCCCCTCCCTAATTCAGCAGAGGACTGTAAAAAAGGGCATTGCCAAACTTTGGAGGAGAGGGAGGGGAAACCTCAGAAAAAAAACATAGGCCCAGGAATAGCTTAGAGGGCTTTTTCTGCTTCTTGGGGGTTCAACAGTTACTAAGTTTTAATTGATAGGCTTATCAGTTAAAAGTGTGGCAGTAGATAATGATAGTGTGGGAAGAATTGAATCAAGAATGCACTGAATGAAGAGAACTGTACTATGGTTTGCGTTAATCACATAAGCATTACAGTGTCTCCGTGGCTTGTGCTGATTCACTTTCCATATATTTGTGCTAAGGAGATAGATACAATCTGACACAAACAATTCCTTGAGCTCTTTCTTTCAGCAGAATAGAAACCAGCTTAGTAAAAGAAAATCAGTGTTGTTGACCATACAGTGAACACAAGTTAATAAATTAAAGGAATAGCTGGCAGAGAGGTTCATGGCTGCTGAATTAAAACAGTAGATAAAATGAAGAGTTAATGGCTTTTTAGCATGCGTGAGAAGCAGCTAGCTCTCACTGAAGTTTCATACTTCCAACATGATTATTCTTCTAAAACAAGAGGGGTGAAAAAATCAAGCTGAAAAGATCCAGGCTGGAAGCAAAATTTGTTTAGTTCCACTTCAAGTCAGCTTTACATCAGATGTAATTGCGTTACACCCCTTCTGTTCAATATAAAGAGATGCTTCACGCAAAGAGTAACTCATTACTGAGAAGGCAAAAAGAAATTTTTTTTTTAAAAGAGGTAATCATAGAATCATAGAATAGTTAGGGTTGGAAAGGACCTTAAGATCATCAAGTTCCAACCCCCGTGCTGTGAGCAGGGACACCTCACACTAAGCCATATCTCCCAAGGCCTTGTCCAACCTGGTTTTGAACACTGCCAGAGATGGAACAGTTTGTAAATACTATTTTTGTAGTCTGAAAAAATACTAAAATGAAAATACTGGGAAAGTTATGCAGTTCAGATCTAAATTTGGTCTCTAAAACTCTGAGTACATTTAACTGTTGGTAATGATTACTTTCGAAGTTTGTCTTCTGTCTGTCGGAAGTTTAAAAGGTCATCATGTTTTTTCACAGTATGTAATGTTTTCAATGTTGGCCTTACACACGTTGTCATTTTTAATCCCTCCCAGGCCTATTTGCATTCTGTTAGGAGGATGCGTGGAAATGAATTCTATCTTATGCTATATAGAGAAATAACATTAAGATGTCCTTCGAAGTCCTTAACAGTATATTGTAAGAAGTAGTAGTTAAGTAATACTTAGGCAATAACAGAGTACAAAAGTACATAATAATAACCATTGCTCTGCTTTTGTTGTAGGATCTTAAGAGAGTTCTTCAAAGAAATGTTGTTGCTTACGTTAGCCTCCATAATCCAGTCACAGGCAACTCAACTTTACATCCTGTTGCATCTCCTTCTCTTCAGCAACTGGCAGCAGAGGTTAGAAATAAAATATTGTCTTTCACATGTTTATTAGATTACATGGTTAACCCCCTTGATGCCAATTGGGTATGAATAACTGTAGGCGGAGTTTGTTCTTGTTAAGCATTTTAAACTCACAAATACATATGAACTATTTTTCCTTAGCATATTGAATTTTATTTAAAAATTTACAGGGTGCATTAACTTATTTCAACAGCTCAACCAAGTCTCCACATACTTGCGTGTCCTACAACCTTTTCACCTTTTGTCAGCTTTAAAGTAACATTTTTTAATCTTCAACACAAAGCACATTTTTCTCTTCCTAATCTGATCTTTGCAATCTTTTTGTCAATTTGCATTTAAACCTGTATATATATCACATGTAAAATGATGCACAGAGAGAGTATTACTCTCACTATACTAAATACTCTCTAAATTATGTCAGGTTCAGTGCTCAGCTAAGCCTTTGTAACTAGTCTACCGTCAGAATATTCTGTAATTAGTTAGGCTGGTCTAAACTAATTTAAACTAATTACCTTATTGCAGTTTCTGAGGTTGCTGAATTTATTAATATTTAAAATAAATTGAAAATAATTTAAGGTACATACTAAATGATAACAGTTTGAAGTGGTGTGTGTAAAATGGATTTCAATTTTGTTTTCATAAAGTATGCTTTATAGGCATTTTTTACATAGATTTTCCAAGCTAATACTCATTAGGTTTTCTGATGTTTCTTTGACTTACCTCTTAAGCATTCCGTACAAAACACTGCTCAAAGTAGCATCTTGAATCAAATGGAGTTTAAGATTGATCTTGCTTGGCAGTTGTTGTTCAAATAAGTTAGTAAAATGGTACCAGTCAGATTGCTTCTAAGCAATGTTTTAACCACTTCTTTCCAGTGATTAGGTGGTAATTTCATCATGGAAACGATCTGGAAAGTACTTTATTCTATAAGTATTGTGGCAAATGCAAATGCAAAATCATTTATTTTCAGGGTTTACTTTGTGAAAAATTATTTATAGTGTTTCATATATGTGAGATTACAGGTGCTATGGGTATGTCAATTAACAATTTATTATTAGGTCCTGTATTTAAAAAAAAATACTATTCTGATAGGTTGCTATCCTTTTCCTAACCTATTAGTATTTGCAGTCCTTTCTTTATGAAAAAAAGTATTTGCCATTTAAAGGAATACATTTATTACATTAGGTCCTTGAACTATTTTTTTTTCTTTTTTTTCTCATTTTGTTTCTTTGACTTCACAGTATCATCCATGGCAGTGATCTGAAAACTGTAAGCTGTCTGGAGCTGCGGAGCAAAAACTTTCATGATTATCTATTTATCACTTTCTTAAGATTTGATTCTTTTATTCTAATTTGCGCCACTTTAGTACAAGTGTTGAAGTCAGGCCCTCTATTCTGGAAAGAAAGCAAAGGAAATCTCTTTTTCACTCTTGCTTTATTTAGGTGTTCCATTTGAGTGTGATGTAATATTTTGTAATTCTTGTTGTGATAGCAAATGCATCTTGTCCAGTAGTATAGATACAGCATCTCTTAGATGTCCTGCCTTGCCCCAGTTAATTAGTTTACAGTCAGTAAAACGTGACCAGAACTCCATCTTTTTTTTATTCAGTAAACACTCTTCATTTCTTCTCTGATTCTTTAGTGGCTAAGGCTTTTTTTGTTGAGATTGCATGCATTGTTTACTGTTTGAAGCCCCATCTAAAAAAAAGTGTGTATGAGATAATCTGTATAGTTTGTTGGGGGTTTTGTAGGGTAATATTATTTGTAATTAATGCAACATTAATGCAGTTTGTGATGTTCAAAATATTTGAAGGAATTAATGCTTCCAAATGCTGGCTAGATTTCTGAATTGACAGTGATGGAACAGCCAAGCACAGATCTGGTTTTGTTCCCAAGGGTACTCCCAGTTTGCCACGTGTCTAGGAGATTTTCTCTGGAAGACTGATCTACTTATAAAGAATATTGATTCTACTTCCAGTACCTGACAAGAAAACAGTGTAATTACATATTACCTCAAAATTATTGTCAAGGGTAAGATGTCACTTTCTGGAGCTCATCTCATCTTGGAGAAAATGTGAGTCCATTCACATGAGATTCTTGTTAACAGATGCAGGTAGCAAAGAAGTGCTTAAAAAGACTAGTGAGACACAAGGCTCATTTGAATTTGTAAGAATAATTCTCTAAAATGAGATTTGCTAAAATAAAAAAGAAGGTGAAATGAGAATTTCTAATAAATAAAAAATGAGAAAATAACCAGTCTTGTTTAGTTAGACAGAAACTTTTCATAATTTATGGATACATGGAATATACAGCACTGTACCTTTGGATTCAGTAATAAAAGTCATACGCCCATTTTTAGATCAGGATAAAAAAGACCAGCTGGAATTATTTTTTTCCAGTGTTGTAACACTCTTGAGGAGGGGGGGGACTAAGATCTGCTCACTATTTGCACCGAGGACAAAGTTGGGTTCAATGCTCATAGTTGTGCTGAAATTGTGGGCACTTCTCAGTAAAACAGAGGAAGAATGTTGTTTTCCTAGGGCCAATTAATACTTGTTACAAAAAACTGAAAAGGTTAAGTGTCGGTATTCTAGGAAAAAAAAACAACTTGCAGTTTGTCCTCTGAAAGAAAAGTAAAAATCACACTAAATGTGTAGGACTCCATAAATGCTGCAAGGACCATCCCTTAAAGAGAAATATGGAGAAATCACAGAGATAGGCAGATGCATGCAACAGTATTTACTTTCTGTGCTATTAATATGCGGCTTTACTAAAATAAAATTTTGGGCAGTCACTAACCATTGCAGCTTCCAAAACACTTTTATTTCCTTAATTTCTGGAAACTATGAGAAAACTAGGGAAGAATTTTTAACTGAAATGTAGTTTGTGTTAATATGCTAGACGTGTAAGTAAAAAGAAAAATCACAAACCTAATGAGCTGTCTACTACATGAGATCTGGTGGTCAGTTAAAGAATAGGATAAGTGCTTGGCTGACATGACTTAAAGATATTTTATGTAAAGAGATTACATCTTTATTTTAGTTGCAGGTTTCAAAAGCAAGCTACATAAGCCATATCCAAACAATAATTTTATGTGCCTATGAGTAGAATTCAGTGGGTTCTGGTTGAAACATCAAATTACATGAAGAACCTAATTTAAATATTTGGATTAATTAAGCAAAGAGGAATTCAGACAATTCTGAGACCTTGACATTTAATTCAAATCTTTTTTATATAGCTATGCTAATTAGTGTCCACATTAATAAGAAGGAAATAATGCCAAATTATATTTTTGCCTACTATTGTTTTCTAAGGAAAATGATTGTTAATTTTCTTGCTCAGTTAATGAGTCACCATTTGTTGGCAGAGTGTCATTGGTAAATTGGGTTTGTTTGTTTGCTGGCATTCATTCTCTGTAAATAAGGCCATTAATGAATTTTTCTATAATTAAAATTTCAGAAGTAAAAAAGTTATGAGACATAAATTCATTCTCTTTTCTTTTAACTAATTGTATGACCGCTACTGATCAGACACCAGGTCTGATGTTGTTGCTAACCCAAGAAAAATTATTGCTCCTGTCTCCTATGGGAAAAGACATTTAAAGCTATCAAATAGTGAGTGTTAAAACTAACTGTACCAAGTATTGTTCCAAGCTATTTAGCATTATTTATTTCTATTAATAGAGTAAAAGCTTAAAACATCTTTACATTTAGCCTGGAGAAGAGAAGGCTGCATGGAGACCTCATAGCAGCCTTCCAGTATCTGAAGGGGGCTTATAGGGGTGCTGGGGATGGACTCTTCATTAGGGACTGTAGTGATAGGACAAGGGGTAATGGGTTCAAACTTAAACAGGGGAAGTTTAGATTGGATATAAGGAGGAAATTCTTTCCTGTTAGGGTGGTGAGGCAGTGGAATAGGTTGCCCAAGGGGGTTGTGAATGCTCCATCCCTGGCAGTGTTCAAGGCCAGGTTGGACGAGGCCTTGGGTGATATGGTTTAGAGCAAGGTGTCCCTGCCCATGGCAGGGGGTTGGAACTTGATGATCTTAAGGTCCTTTCCAACCCTAACCATTCTATGATTCTATGATTTAAAGGTGTTATTATTAACAGAAAACTACTTTTTCTTTTTGAAGTAGAATTGAAGATAAACTTCTTTATAGATGCTTGTTACTATTATTTCTTGATAACAATCTTACATTAATATCAGCATTGATTTTTCCAACTTATATGTGTTATTTATTTTGTTTTACCTTCAGTATTTAAGAATAGATCTACAATCCTCATGTATCAGTAGGATGTAAAGAAGAAAAGAACATTAAAATACTGAGTAGCTTGGTGTATGCCGTGTAACAGAAGATTATAGCTTTCCCATGAATTTTCAGGTTTTACGTGTTACTGCTGTGTTATAATGGATTGGTGATGTTACTTTTTATATTTGTGTTGAAAATAAACCTCTTGAGAATCAGAAATTTATGCTGTGAACACTTGTCTCAGGAATTCATAACTACATTAAAAACGTGCTGTTAATATAGACAATAATTCATTAAGATGCTGCTTCTCCAGTGTGAAAAGCAGTTTCATTTAATGATTAATTTAATTTTCAGGTTACACCAGGTCCTTTCCATCTGCTAACAATGCACTTACTTGGACAAAACATTGCTTTGTCCACTGTTGCATACTTTTTCACTCTTCCTCTATATTAAACAATTTTAATAGATAAATGCCAGTCTAGACAGTGGTTAATTGTTTAAACCTACTCATACAATTTGATGTTATGAAAATACTCTTGCTTTTAACCACAGGGAAAAAAGGTCGTTAGCAAGGAAGAATGCAAATGGACTAGTTTTATGCTATGAATATTACCGAATATCTGCTGAAAGTCCTTTGTTTCTAGTTAATCAAGCTTTCTGCTTCCAGGTGCGTCCCTATCGTTAAGAAATTAAAATATTATTTTTTTCTTCTAAAAGCATACATAATGTATATTTTCAGGAGGCTTG